TGCCGGTGTTGAACGTCTGACTGCGTAGTCGACGAGGAGTGCCCATCGTGGCTCGCCTGCATCGACCAGGAGTGCGAAGACCCGTGCAACTGCGGCCCCAACGCTGAGTGCCGCGTTGTTAACCATCGTCCCCAGTGCTTGTGTCTACCAGGCTACGAGGGCAACGCCGTCGTCGAGTGCACGCTGAGTGAGTATCTTGGCGACGTTCTTCGGTTGCCGTAGGTGCCGTCTCCGTTGCGTTTTACGCTTCGCTAGATGTGATCTCTTTTCGTGCCTGTTGATACCGTTTTCTATGTATTGTTTATTTTGTCTGGTTCCGGAAAGTAGCTGCCGACCCTCTGGCATCCTCATTCACCCTTCACAACTGCCTCCTCACCCGCAGGACCCGTCGGCGAACCGTCCTTCAAGGAGTGCCAGACCGACGGCGACTGCCCGAGCAAGCTGGCGTGCTTCGACGGCCGCTGCGACGACCCTTGCCTCGTGGTCAAGCCCTGCGGGGTCAACGCCAAGTGCGAGGTCATCGACACCCTGCCCTACAGAACCATGACGTGCGAGTGCCTCCCGGGCTTCATCGGAAACGCCTACGTCGAGTGCTCGCCACGTAAGGAAAACCCGGCTGGAGTGGGTCGGCCGTTTTGCTGCCACACTAACATGGATTCGTTGTCGCTAATCAGTAGTATTATAATTATCTTGATTTGATTTACGTGTTTATTAATTCGTTTACTTTTGTACTTAGCAGGGAACTTTACTAACCCAGTCTCACAATCAGAATTGAATTGGGCGAATGCTTTCTAACCCTGAATGTCAATGTCTGTTAGTTAAATAAGAAAAATCATTTAATGATTAACTGTTATTTTTATATAGTTGCCAGTAGATGACATACTATTCAGGGTTGGAATAACTGACAGAAACATGAGAGATATTACATGTTTCTTTGATACTACACTTTATATTTATCACGTTTTACTAACCACCTTAATTCCATATCGTTTCAGAAAAAAATCGTCAGTGTATTGAACTCCTTTTTTTTATCCTTTTTAGGATTATAATATTTTTTATTATATTCATTACTCGAAAAATAACCAGCAGAACCGAACACACATCATCCGAATTCAATAGGGTTATTTGAACTAATACCAGACGATTTTCCAAAATACATTTTTTTTTCAAATCTCACAAAATATTCAGGATTTCATTTTAAGGAAAAAAAAAAAAAAAAAGATAATGATAATGGCTTATATCTTTATAATCAAATCACTCTTAGCAAATATATGTGAACACTATAATGATGGTGATTATTGTGATGCTAAAAAACGACCGAATTCCCACACCAGGCCCGACAGAACCCCCAGGCTGTGCTGCCGATGACGAGTGTGGCTCGACCGAGATTTGCCGCAACCGACAGTGCCTCGACCCCTGTGCCATCCTCAACCCGTGCGCGCCCAATGCCGAGTGCCAGGTTGGTGCCATTGGCTTTTTTATTCATGTGTTTCTTGCTATCAATCTCTTTTTATGTATTTATTATTACCATGATGGTTTATTAATTTGATATTTAGTTGTTTGTTTATCAGCTATTATTTTCCTTTTTCTTTTTTTTCGCGTATATTGTGTATAAGAATGGGATAAGAAATACTTAACATTCGTACAAGTTTTGGAGGCTTTTCTTTTGTTCTTTCCTTTTTTGGTGTTGCTATCTTTATTTCTCTCTCTGTTATCTTTCTTTCTCCTCCTCTGAAAGATAGTTACACCCTCTTTCTCTTCTCTCTTTCTTACTCTTCGTCTCTCCTCTCCTCTCTCTCTCTCTCTCTCTCTCTCTCTCTCTCTCTCTCTCTCTCTCTCTCTCTCTCTCTCTCTCTCTCTCTCTCTCTCTCTACACTTTCTCTCCCCTTCTCCATCTCTCCTTCTCCTTCCCCACTCCCCTCTCCCCTCTCCCCTCTCCCTCTCCCCCTCTCCCTTCTCCCTCCCCACTCTCCTCTCCCTTCGCTTCCCTCTCTTTCCCTCCCCCTCAGCCCTCGTTACACCCCCCCCTCTCCTCCCCCAGGTCCTCGACCGTCGGCCCCAGTGTTCGTGCCCGCCCGGATACACAGGCAACCCGAACGTGAACTGCTACCTGAGTGAGTACCCGATGCCAGTGCACTGTCCGCCTGCTGACTGAATGTTTGTCTGCCTGTCCGTCTAGAGCTGACAGAAGACGTTTATTTAATACTTATTAATAGTCTAACCCAAAGGATTGTTTAGTCACAGTGATGGATCAGTTTTTAGTCGTACTAACAAAGTAAAAATGTGAGTCTAGTAATGTTGTAATTCCAAATCTAACGGCCAAGCATATGTTTATGTTGTCGAGCTATGTACAAATAACTTGTGTGTGTATATAAAAATTCACAAAGCCGCAGCACTGTGCATGATGACGTCACAAGCTCACCCACTCGCCACAGCTTGATGTTTGTTGCTTGTTCGTTGTTAGTTATGTGTTCTCGCTTTATAACATCTCACAAACGCTAGCTTAGATTTGTTTTCGTATGAACTTAGCTTTTTATTATCTTAGTGTGATATGTGTTTGTCGAAGTTGTTGCTGTAGGTTCACGTTTATTTGTTTTTTGTTTTTTTTACTTGCGCAGTTTCAGCGAAAATTAGTTTTTTATGTCATGTGGAGAAATTATTTTTTACGCGTTATTCGGTGTCATGAAAGCACGATGAACCTCCTGCCACAACTTCTTAGAATTGCTTGTTGTGTTGTCAAAAGTCGCGAAGGTGACGCATGGCGACGCTGTTTTGTTCCCAGCCTCATCGATGCCTAATTCTCGTCTTAAAACACTAAAATGGATATGCATCTTTTTTTTTTCTTTCTTTTTTTTACTTTTTGTTACTTTTTCATTCGAATACGTTGAGGTTGAGAACCCCAAAGCAGCATCGCCACGCCATTGACGCCCCTGTCAACCTAACACCCTAACACCACCCCCCTGACCCCCCTTAGCTGCCCCCCGCCCGGCCCGTAAGTGCGAGATAGACATCGACTGTTTTAAAATTGACAAGTGTTTGGATTCTCGCTGTCAAAACCCGTGCTTCGCCGCCAACCCTTGCCCTCAGAGCTCCGTGTGCAAACCCTACAGGCACCAGCCCTACTGCATATGTCCTGAGGGCACGACCGGCGACCCAAACGTTGATTGTCGTCCAGGTAGGAACTCTGCCCCCCCCCCCCCCCACCCCTCCCTGCCTATTCCCTGTCACCTCCCCTGCCTCCCCCTGGCCCTCCCCCATCAACTATCTCGTGATGCCGAGAAAAGGTATGGGCGGCAGAGAATAATTCCAGGGTGCAAAATTAGAGATGAGATTATGATATTGCGCCATACCATTTCCCAGCAATATAGTAACAAAAAAGAATGAGAAATATATAAAAAAATAGATAAAATTAAAGGATGATGAATCACAGAGCACACAGCTGATGGCATGTATTCAGATTCGCTTGTGTTGCACGTCGCTTGTGTACAATCAAAACAAATTTTTCTGAAAGACCTCCCACCCCACCCCCACCCTATCTAACCAACCCCCCTTCAAGGTAAGTTCTAAACCCAGTTCTCGTTCGATGCAACTTGTTACTCACGCAAAGACATGTTGGTGCATGAAAGCTGAATGTTTACCTCCACCAAGAATAACACAAACCAAACATTTATTTTCATTATTCGATCGTTGTCGTCTCCTGAACCAAATGGACAGAATTATGAAAGCTTGTTCTATGATTTGCATGATTTAAAACTCGTTTTTGCGTCGTGGATGTTGCAGTTCCGCCGCTGGAGCCCGCCTGCCGCGCCGACCCCGACTGCCCGACGGACGAGGCGTGCATCAACCAGATCTGCGTGGACCCGTGCCTGATGGAGGACCCGTGCGGCCGCAACGCCCTCTGCAGGACCCAGCAGCACCGCCCAACCTGCTCGTGCCCCGAGGGATGGGCGGGCAACCCCCAGATCGAGTGCTTCCAGCGTGAGTACCTGAGAGGGGGGCGTCGATACCTGCATGTCGATGGAGGGGAAGGATGCATGACTTTGACGGGGACGAAGGGAGGGGGGAGGGGGGAGGGTCTGGGGATACCGGGCGCGTGAAGGGTTTTGGTGAGATATCGTTGCAGGTGTTGTCGAGGCCCCGAGACGAGCGGCGTTCGGGGAACCCACAGCAATAACCAGTAACCTCCTCGCCGCCGCCGCCATGGGCCCCCCGTGGCTACTAACCTGCTTGTCAGCGCTTAACCCGCTTCTGGATATACTGCCTAACCCGCTGCCTCTAGCTAGACTAACCCGGACAAGGTAAGGGCGCCGTAATAACGTCTCCGAATTCTCTCAGCCGATTGCCTGGTGGACGAGGACTGTCCCACGGACAAGGCGTGTGTCAGCCAGAACTGTGTAGACCCGTGCTCGTACAGCGGCCCCGCCTGCGGTCTCAACGCCGAGTGCAGAGCCGTGCTGCACCGTGCCCAGTGCTATTGCCCGCCGGGTATGCAGGGCAACCCCAGTGTGGCTTGCGTGGCGGTGGGATGCACCTCCAGCGAGGACTGCGCCGACGATAAGGCCTGCGACCGCCTCAACCGAGTCTGTATCCCCGTGTGCGAAGCCTCCACGTGCGCCGTGCAGGCCGAGTGCCGCGCCGCCAACCACGCAGCCATGTGCATATGCCCACCGCCATTCACGGGCAACCCATACCTCCAGTGCTTCCAAGGTAAGCCTCCCAATCACCGAAATCTGTCAAAGCTGCATCAGCACCCGCATATAAATGAACGACGCACATATTCCAATAACAGAGAATATTTGGCAAAGGCCTAACCCCCCCCCGCCCCCGCAGTGCAAGAGCCGCCCATAACGGAGACCCCGGTGGAGCCCGAGTGCCGCAGAGACTCCGACTGCCCCTCGCAGCACGCCTGCATCAACGCCATATGCCAGAATCCCTGCGCGCTCGGAAACCCCTGCCTGCCGTCCCAGGAGTGCCGCGTGGTCGACGGAGTGCCGCTCAGAACCATGGTTTGCGAGTGTCCGCCCAACCAGATCTTGGTCAAGGATGGCGTCTGCATCAGACCAGGTAGGGAATGAGAGCCAAAGATACTTGAACACAATGTCGATGAATATTGAATTTCAATTAACCCAATTATTATTTTTTAATCACACGTCCTAAGATGCAATATTCTTAATGGCTGTTTCAAACCGCAAAATACGAAACCCCTCTCTATATTTTCTGAGAACCAAGCCCCTTCTCCCTGCCCAGGCGCGGTCGAACCGCAGTGCCGCGTTGACCAAGACTGCGCCGACCACGAAGACTGTCGGGAAGGCACCTGCGTGAACGTGTGCCGCCCCGACCCGTGTGGCCTGAACGCCATCTGCATGGGAGAGAACCATCAGTCGCGCTGCCAGTGTGCCCCGAGCTACATTGGCGACCCCTTCGTGCAGTGCAGGAGGAGTGAGTTTGGCTGGCGCTTTTGGCATTTATTTACAGCGTTATTATTGTTATTATTATAATTATCGTTATATATTCATTAGCTTCTGTATCTATACTAACGGAGGAGGGAGCTCTTCCACCATCACTCTTTCCCTTACCCTGCCTACCCTCACTCTCCCTCGCCCCCCCTCTCTCTCCTCACCCCCTCTCTTCCCCTTTCGCCCCCCCCCCACCAGAACCCGCCGTATCCGAGACCCCCGACCCCGAGTGCACGACCGACGACCAGTGCAGCGACTCGGAATCCTGCGTCAACCAGTACTGCGTGAACCCGTGCATCCTGGACGACCCCTGCGCACCCAACGCTTTCTGCTACGTGCGCGAACACCGCCCCGTCTGCAGGTGTCCGGAGGGCTTCGTCGGCGATCCAAAGATTGAGTGTCGACCTTGTAAGTGTTCGTTCTCGACCGCCCTTCTCGTCGGCACGTTCTCTCTCTCTCTCTCTCTCTCTCGCTCTCGCTCGCTCTCCCGGCCGTTCCCGTTGAGTCACGAGAGCGGGGGAGCCTCCGGTGTTGGGGATCTTGGGTACTGTGTGTTCGTCGTGTACCCTGGCCTGGGGTGTCATGTGCTTCAAAGAAGAAAAGGAAAACGATTTGCATTGTCGTGTCTCCGTACTTGGTCTTGTTTATTCAAATATCTAATCGTTTATTCACCTATTTCTCTCTCTCTCTATCTATCTATCAATCTATCTACCCATCTATCTATCTCTATCTGTCAATCAATCAATCTAGTCATTTCTCACAATGCGATAAGAATATAGATCCGTCAGTCATTATCGGTTCATGACACCACATACAGTACCTCGGATTCCGCGCCGGAGGGCAAGAGAGCGCCCTTGCTGCCGGAGTGACACCTCGCCAGGCAGGAGGGCGAGTGTCAAGGGAACCCTCAAAGCCTCTGACGACTGCGCGACGTGACGATGTGTCATTTCGATGTCACGGTGTCACAGTCAGTGCCGTCTTTCTGTCGTGGTTTTTGAGGGCCCGCTTTTCACTGGAGCGTGTGTGTTTTGTCATTAATGTCTACTAAGCTAACATCTGGCCAGTCCGTACTACTGTTTAAAATATATTTTGATGTATCATCTTATGTGCTCATCACTGTGTTCATCATATGTGTTCATCTGTGTTCATCTGTGCAGCAACGAGTTCATAATATTGTCAGCTTGTGTTCGCTTTTGCTGATAATAACAGTCTGACTGACAAAAGACCGACTATACACGCGCGCGCGCGCGCGTGCGTGCGTGCGTGCGTGCGTGTGTGTGTGTGTGTGTGTGTGTGTGTGTGTGTGTGTGTGTGTGTGTGTGTGTGTGTGTGTGTGTGTGTGTGTATGCGTGTGTGTGTGTGTGCATGCGCGTGTGTATCTGTGTGTCTGTGTGTGAGCGCGTGCGTGCATGTATCTGTGTGTGTGTGTGTGTGTGTATGTGCGTGTATCTGTGTCTGTCTGTTTGTCTGTGTCTCCATGCGTGTGATTGTTCCTTTTTGTGTGTGTGTCTGCATGTGCCTGTATGGGACTGAAAGGCAAAACCAACCTGTAAATATATCTGACCGACGCACGACCGAGTCACCCCGACCGCATGCCATTCGTAGACCCCATGATTCCATGATTCCGAGCTCTCTTCTAGACCAGTAGCCTCATGATCACCGGGCGCCATGAGGTGCCGGTGAGCGCATGGCATGACCCATGTCCCTTGGCACTCTTTCGTGAGATTATATATCTTCCATTTCAGATTTCTTTTAGATTAATGTATTCATTATTTCTTGATTTGTCTCGTATGGATTATAGCATACTTGGATATGTTACCTTCGATGTCTAGTCTTTATTTTGTTTTAATATCTTAATATTATTCTAGTCAAGTAGCTTTACTAATTAACAAAATGCCTGATGATTTAACTAGTCACCCTAACTAGCCAGTAACTAGCCAACTCTCTCCGAACCTTGTACTGAACCCTAGTTCGAGTGTTACTAACCAAGCGGGTATGTTTAGCGACAGTGCCAATTCCGGGCGGGGCCACAAACTGGACCACAGGGGGCACAGGCAAGGCTTGCCGCGCCCACCGGGACTGCGGGCCCGACCAGTGGTGCGAGGGCGGTCAGTGCCTCCGCCCATGCCCCTCCGCGTGCCCTCCCACTGCACTGTGCCGCGTGCATGACCAGCGCCCCGTGTGCTCCTGCCCCCCCAGCTCCACCGGCAACCCCCAGGACCAGTGCCACCCATGTAAGGCCCGGCACGCAGCTGTCGGAAGTCTCCCGAGTTTCCCCTTTGTTGGATGTCGTCTTTTTAGACATGTGTCTTGAATTGAATCTCTAATCTTATCTCTAATTTGATCTCTAATTTAATATTGGTTTGCTAATTAATATGATTAAACTATTTTTGACTCAAGCATTTGCGTCTGCCAATATTGCATCTTGTAGCCTGAGATTAACATCTACTTAGCTGTTAGTTGGGTGATTGCATATATCGTAAGAGATCCTGTGGCCTTCCTCTCAACCTGTCCCCTCTACTACAGTCGGCTGTGTGACAGACGATGACTGCCCTTTCACTGAAAAATGCTTCCGTGGTCAGTGCCGCAACCCATGCAACGCTGGCCGCCCATGCGCACCCACGGCCACTTGCACACCATCCAACCACCACGCACTGTGCACGTGTCCACCTGGTTACACGGGAAGTCCAACTGACTCCTGTGTACCAGTGGGTTGTACCTCCTCTAACGAATGCCCAAGTGACCAGGCCTGCTACAGGGGATCCTGTGTGAACCCCTGTGTCCTGGATTCCCCCTGTGGGCCTGGCACCTCCTGCCTTACCACTGGTCACACAGCCACGTGCGCCTGTCGCCCTGGGCTTTTTGGAGACCCACATATTTCATGCACAGCCCCAGGAACCACGTCCCCGCAGTGCAAGACGGACTTTGACTGCGTAGGAACAAAGGGTTGTATTGATGGAACATGCAAAGACCTGTGTACCTATCTGCGTCCTTGTGGCGAGAACGCTCTCTGCCGCACTATAGACATGGCCAATTTGCGAACAGTTTCTTGTGAGTGCCCACCAGGTCATACTGGAAGTGCCTATGAAAAGTGCCAAAAAGTAGATGAAGAACAGCCCAAGTGCCAATTAGATGCCGAGTGTCCCTTGTTCGAAGGCTGCATCGATGCCCAGTGCAAGGACCCATGCGAAGAAAACCCGTGCGCCCTGAATGCAGAGTGCCGTGCGGTCAACCACCGTGCCATCTGCTACTGTCCCCCTGGCTACACTGGGGACGGACACACATCCTGCTCTCGCCTTGAGTGTAGCCGCGACACAGACTGCCTCGAGGACAGTGTTTGCTTCAACAACAGGTGTACGTTGTCTTGCACTCTCTCAAGGCCTTGTGGCACAAATGCAAAGTGCCACGCCTCCTTACACAGATCAGAATGCCAGTGTCTCCCAGGCTACAAAGGAGACCCTTACACACTGTGCTCAAGTGTTCAGTGCACCTCCGATGACTCATGTCCCTCCACACACACTTGTTATGGCAAGACCTGTGTAGACCCATGTCAGCAAGACCAGCCATGCCATCCGTCACAGGAATGTAAGGTCGTCAACCACAAGCCCGTCTGCAGCTGCCCTGCTGGCTTCACACAACAGACAGACAAGTGTATCCCTATAGGTCTTGGATGCTCTGTTGATAATGACTGCAACTCCGGTGAGGGTTGCGTGGATGGAAAATGTACAGACCTTTGTCGAGATAATCCCTGCGGGCTAAAGGCAACCTGCACTGTACAAAACGGCCGTCCTCTGGCCAGTGTCTTGTGCCAGTGCGGGCCAGGCCTGACTGGAGACCCATTCAGAGAGTGTGTCACCGTGCCAGCCCCAAAACCAGGCTGCACTACAGAGTACGACTGTCCATGGGATGAGACCTGCGAAGACGGCCGCTGTGTAGACCCATGCCAGACCACTCGCTGTGCTCCAGGGGCCATCTGCCGCGCCCTTGGACACCGTGGCGTCTGCTCCTGTGCTGCTGGCTCCAAGGGAGACCCCAACGTCCTCTGCACGACAAGTAAGTTTAAGTGTACTATTTAGTCTGAGTGAAATATGGTTTAACATTTATAGTATTGGATTTTGAGCGTTAAACTGGCTTAGTCAACACCTGTATTTATAATGGATCATCTCTCCCACAGTTGGCTGTACACAACGGTCAGATTGCCCAGTAGAAGAAGCATGTGTCAACGGACGATGTGTGGACCCATGCAAGGAGAGGAACCCCTGTGGCCCCAGTGCCAAATGCCAGACCACCAAGCAAGGCCCAGTATGCACGTGTCCTGAAGGCTTTGAGGGCGATGCCTATATCAGGTGCCAACCTTCAGGCTGCCAAGACAACTCCCAGTGCCCTGACAGCCAGGAGTGCCGTGAGGGAGAGTGCATGGACCCGTGTGACCTCCAGCAGTGTGTAGCCAATTCTGAATGTTTTGTGCAGAATCGCCGAGCAACATGCAAGTGCCTCGAAGGGTACAGTGGAGACCCTGACCGATTCTGCTCGCCACCGCCCTCTGCAGAATGCCGCAGTGACAAGGACTGCCCTGCTTTGCAAGGTTGCATTGATGGGAAGTGCCAAGACCTCTGCGAGGTGATTCACCCTTGTGGCACCAGTGCCGTGTGTAAGGTCATTGACAACAGACCATTCAAAGCAATGTCCTGCTCTTGTCCCGACGGCTACGAGGGCGACCCCTACTACGCTTGCACTGCAGGTGAGTTGCGCTCGGCACTTGAAAAAACTATTTCTTGTGAGCTCTGTAAATTGTCGAAATACAGTGCAACAATTTTCACCAATCATATAGTTGATTAACGTGTTATTCGTATTTTTTACAGTTACTGAAGAAGACTGCAGCTCTGATCTGGAGTGCCCCCTGCGCTTCTCTTGCGAGGCAGGGAAGTGCCGAAATCCCTGCCCCGCCGGATGTGGCACCAATGCCACGTGCTCCGTCCTCAACCACCGCCCTGTGTGCCACTGTCAGCCAGGCTATGCAGGCATTCCGGAGGAAGGATGTTATAAGAGTAAGTATCAAAGAGCAAATTATTGTTTAACCACGCACACGCACACACGGATATGGTATGTGATTCTATATACGCATATATGGATGTGTGTGTGTCTATATATATATATATATATATATATATATATATATATATATATATATATATATATATATATATATATATATATATATATATATATATATATATATATATATATATATATATATATATATATATATATATATATTCTATATATATATATATACTATACATGTATATATATTACATATTAAATATATATATATTATATATATATAATATATATATATATATATATATGTATGTATGTATGTATATATATATATATATATATATATATATATATATATATATATATATATATATTATATGTGCATACATTTATGTGTGTAGATGCACATATGACTATATATGTTGTTAATTAACAGAAATATGTAAAAGAATGTTTTAACAAAATGCCTCTTCTCTTGCAGTTGATTGTGAAACTGACGATAACTGCCAAGACTCAGAAATCTGCAAACAGAACGTCTGTGTCGACCCGTGTCGCAAGGACAACTCTTGCCCACCAAGTGCCAAATGTATCACTGCCAATCACCGTGCTCAGTGCCAGTGCCCCCCAGGCACCTCAGGGAACCCGCAGGTGTCCTGCCAGCTGGTGGAGTGCACGGCGGACCTGGACTGCAAGAGCTTCGAGGCCTGCGTCAACGGCGAGTGCAAGGACCCCTGCTCCTACTACAACCCCTGTGCCGTAGGCGCCACCTGTAGAGTCGCCAGCCATGAATACACTTGCACATGCCCTCCAGGGCTTCAGGGCGACCCGAGGTTCAGCTGCGCGGCCCCGAAAGACCCTCTAGGGTGTGTCGTGGACAAAGACTGCCCCGACACCCACGGCTGCATCCTCAGCTCGCTCGTGACGCGTTACCACAGCAAGATTTCCGCCGTCTACGTCCGCTTCGACGATAAGGACTCCGGCGCGACCTGCAGGGACCTCTGCGAGGAGCACAAGCCATGCGGCCCCAACGCCGTCTGCTCGGTCATCGACTCCAAGCCTCGGCGCTCCATGAGCTGTGCCTGCCCGCCCGGCTTCCACGGCGACGCCAAGATAGAGTGCCGAGAAAGTGAGTAACTGGTGCCATTTACTGTCTCATGTTTCATGCTGAGGCTGATACGAAGGTGATGCTGTAAAAACCCATTTGCTCATTTTATTTTTACATATTTTTGCTTACATTTTATTATCTTTTCTCTACAGTTCCATCTCAAGGAGGATGTGTCCGTGATACAGACTGTCTCTTCAGCGAGGCCTGCATAGAAGGGCTGTGCCGAGACCCTTGCAACTGCGGCCTCAACGCCCAGTGCCACGTGTCGCAGCACCGCCCGTACTGCAGCTGCCCGTTCGGTCACGCCGGCGATCCCAACGTTGCATGCTACAGAAGTGAGTTCATTTATCAGGATGTTTTACATGGGGACATTCATCGGCGAACGTGAAAATTAAAGGGAATAAAGGAGCGGATAGAAAATATTGTTTTATATATGTTCGATGAATATACAGAACTGAAAGAATTGAACTGATAGTTAACCTTCCTATTTGATTTTTTCAACAGCCGAGTGCAACAGCGACGTTGACTGTCCGAGCGACAAGGCCTGCGAGGATCACGAGTGCGTGGATCCCTGCGCGAGCGACGAGGCCCCGTGCGCCCCCTCGGCCCTGTGCAGAGTGCTCGGACACAAAGCGCAGTGCTCGTGCTCGCCAGGGGAGCGAGGTGACCCCAAGATCCAGTGCCTGGCTATTGCCTGCAGAGGCGACTCGGAGTGCCCTCACAACCTGGCGTGCGAGGACGACCAGTGTATCGACCCGTGTGAAAGAGACGCGTGTGGTGTGGGCGCCGTGTGCTCAGTGACGGCCCACAAGCGCACCTGTCAGTGCCTCGAGGGGTACTCGGGCGACCCAGAGGTGGCGTGCCGCCCACAGAGCTGG